GCCCATTCATTCAAATCAGGTGTGTTTGAGCAGAGAAAAAAATAAAACATGCAGGGCTGCGGCCCTCGAGGACCAGGATTGCCCACCCCAGCGGTAGACGGTAGAAACGCTATGAAGTTGGCCTACGGTAGAAATTTATACTTTACCGTCCTATTGTCATTACGTCATCGCACCTGTGTCAACAGGGCTGCGAGTGCAGAGACAACTGGGCAGAAGTTCGAAATATAATGAAGAAATTCTAGTGTTTTAAGACGCGTATAGAGAGAATAAATCCTCAAATTTCCTCCTCCAGCTGTAGAAAAGTTACGTCGTGTCGCGGGATCGTTTCCTCCCTCCCCTCTCCTCTCGCTGCATGTCGCGCAGAGCAAAGCTTTAACAACTGTAGTTTTTCACACATAATTGTCGGAGAAAAAATTTTTTACCCACAGAGATTATAAAAAAAAAAAGACGTGGACGTTCGTTCAGTCGTAAATCCATCTTGCTAATGTAAAGTCAGCTTCTGCTCTGATGATGAAGATGAGCGCGCAGCAGGCAGAAGCTCATTGTTTGGTAGGCAGATATTAAAGTAAACATGTTGGGTTTAATTACGATTACAATTTTCTGCAAAAATTACAGTATCTTAACTTTTTATGATAATTTTCTACTGCGATATATACGGTTACCATGAAGGGTTCGATTTATACCGTGATATGAATTTGAGGTCGTACCGCCCAGCMCTACAACATATTGATCACAKTGGAATTTTCTGATCCATCGTGGGGAGATTTCTGATCCATGAGCTGTGTCTCTTTATAACGTTGTCTGCTGAATGACTCCAGAAGTGATTCTCGGCTGCAAACAGTGGAATGGATTTCCTGAACAGAGGTGAGTCTCGATGAGGACCCCCAACCCACCTCCATTTAGGATATCTGTTCCAGAGTTTGCAGCCAGCTCTGCGGCCAACTTTTCACCACATCATGGCTTTGTGTGTTTAAAATTAGAGACAGCACTATAAACCACCTTTATTTTTAATTGTGTTGGTAGGCCATGTAAAACCAGAGTTGTGATAAAGAATATGGAACATGTTTTATTCTCTTAAAATGTTTGATTTTGACACACGTTGCTGCAACGCGAGGCAGCAGGAAACACGGGCAAAATCAAGGAGAAAACACTCCAATTCTCCATCAGTTAGCTTTTCTCTCAACCCCAACAAAATACATCTCCTTTCTGACTGAGGCATCAGTTTATTTGTTAAGATATTTAGCTTGTTTGGATTTTATAACTAATATGTAGGTGTGTGTTTAGTTTACAGTTTTACTGTGTTTAAGTCAAAACAATGAGGCAATTTTTGAATGTGAAACTACAGCTTCTGTTTGAGGTGGAGGATGGTTTGCTAAATTTAACATTTATGAATGTTACTGTTTAGATTTGTATTCTAACTTTTATAAAGTCAGCAATAATGATACCAATAATATTAAATGATTGATGATGATAATCAGCCGATATATTAAATTCAGGCATCTAATCAGAAATGAAAATCAGTGCACCCCTGTTTCTTACTGCCAATTCTCCCTCTCTCTCACCCGTGTCCCACAAGACTCACTTTACAAAACGGTTCTGCAAAATGGCCGCAAAGCCCAGTCCATTTTTAGGCTCAGGTGGAGCTGGCCTCGTCCCGCATAGATGTGAGCTTTCAGAAATGAAACGAGCATGAAGGCAATGGAGTCCTGTGTTTTGTGAAAGCGCCCCTGTTTCATTTGACCCACTTCCTTGTGGTGGTTCTGAGTGCCTTTTAGGGACCCCATCAAAGCATCAGTTGCAGGTTGCTTTATGTGTGTAAAGATCTTAATGGCGTAAAACGCTTTGTGGTCTGAGTCAGTCTGCTGCTTCTGTCTTTTATGCTGTTTGGTGGTGCTTATGTTACAGCCCTGTCTGTCACCACTTATTACATTATTAATTAGAAAGGCTTTGTCTTGCATAGTATTTATTTAGTACAGTGATTGTTTAGCTTTCCTACGTTTTTGTTTTGCCAGTAATTGAATGCTTGCTGGTTCCTCTAAAAATAAGTGTAACTAGGTGATGTAACCTTAGCTGCTTTAAATCAAATAAGTACAGAGAGACTTGTTTGTTTGGATGAACAGAGTGCCTTCATTCCTTCCTCATTTTTGATGCTGCAAACATAAGTGTGTGTCTGTGTGCTGGATCAAGAGTGCAGAGTGATTTTTAGACTTCTTTTGATCATTGCTCCAAATGCAGATTGGTGCACTTCCTCACACTYTTTCTTAATCATATATAGAGTTAAATGGATTTCAGCACTCTGAAGGGTGATTTTAATGCACTTGTAGAACATGGCTGCTGCACTGTCAAATAAAACATGCAAGGTTTGAATATTTTATGGCCAAAGCTGTGATGTCTAGTCACATGCTAAAGATTAGACCCAGCTATGCAGCGAGCTGGAAAAAGAAAGAAAGCCCACCCTCATTATCTGCAGTAGCATCTTTCCCCTCCTCATTTTTAAATGTTTCCGGTCCCCCCACCAACAAATGTCCACCTTCTGTCTTGTGTGTTGTTTTGTGGCCCTGCGTCATGTTGTCTGTGTGTGTGTGTTAGATGGTGCTGAATTTATTGTGCTCAGCAGTTAAATGTGTTCTGCAATCTTCACTTCCTGCTTTTAGCTGAGTTGTTTCCTGTCCTGTCACCGAGCAGAAGCTGGCTGACCTCATGTGCATCACTCGGCTGAAAAAAAAAAAGATTAAACCAAGTTTCATATCTGGTTGATGTGAAACAAACATTTTTATCACGGCATGCTGTGGACACATACAACTCTGCTGTACATTTGTACCAAATTAAACTTGACGAAAAATTYAATTCATAGGTTTGTGTTGATTTTAGAATGAGAAGTGACAGTAAACATTTTTATTTGTTTATTCTTTACCAAACAGTCTTCACTGCAGGTTGCTAGCATTTTTATTGCAGCTTGTGGTTTATTATGTTTTATCTTGTTAATGCTTCTTGTAACCTCAAAGCAAAACTTGTTGACAGACATGTTAGAAAATGAGCCACAGAATTCAAAATCTTCATGTTTGGAACATGTTTGGGCAAAGTATGTTGCAGATCTTTAACAGTTTGTGTTTAAAAAATATCCACTTATGCCGTGATTTTTACTATTATTGTCATTTCAAAAGAAATACTTTGTTGGGCTGGCAAAGTTTTTTTTTTTTTGAAGAATGGCATTGTTTTTTTAATTTCTTTTTTAGACACTTTCAGTGCTCTATCTTTAAACTATGCTTCAAATCTGTGTTTTTCTCTAGTTATATTTCCAAATTATGGACTGCTCTTCTGACCAATCAAATGATCTTATAAAAGTGCTTTCAGAACTGTAAAGAAATTATTATAGGTTGATTTTAAGACACTAATTAGTTTTAGAAGAAAGTATTATTTTGAAAATTTATTTTATTTAAAAATCAATAGGATATATTCCAAAAACTGTTGAGCATGATAGTACTTGTTTGGTTGTGGTTTAACTTTCAGTAAAGTAAATTCTGCTTGTAGTGTCAACCTTTCATGGCGCTGAACAAGTTAATCCACCTCCTGTGGGAGCGAAACAAAAGGCCGTACTTCAAAGAGTGTTCTCATTCAGAATTGTGTATACTAAACAAAGTTGAATAAATCACTCTTCCTGACAGTCCTGTGTGTAGTATAGGCTTTGTCAACAATTGGTGATAACAGTTTGGAATCAAGGCAAAAGTGTGGTTAAGTGTTCACAGCGTTGATTAAGCCTGAATGGGTTTGGCCTACTATTTGCAGGTATTGTTTAACAAAAAATGGTGTTGTGTGTTTTCCAGTAAATACATTGTTTTGTTTTCCAGCTCCCATAAGTGAGGCATCGTCTCCCCCGCCAAAGGCTACCTGCATGACCTGAACCTACCTGTGTCTACCCCCCAGCTTCACCATCCTTCTGCACTAAAACCCAAAGCCTTTAGTCGACCCTCCTCCCCCTCCCCAGCACCTTCCAACTTCTCACTTTTCAACACATCAGTATGGCGGGGCGAGGCGGACCGGCACGGACCAACGGCACCGCCGCAAGCAACAAGATCTGTCAGTTTAAGCTAGTGCTTCTGGGAGAATCGGCAGTGGGAAAGTCCAGCTTGGTACTGCGCTTCGTCAAAGGCCAGTTCCACGAGTACCAGGAGAGCACCATCGGAGGTGAGGGAGCTTTTATCAACAGATAAGTGTGAGGTTTTACTAAGAATTCATGTATGAAATGTAGCCGTCACACACAAGCACTGTACAGGTCTTTGCCTGTTAAGAGGAACCGATACCTCTCATGTCTTCTTCTTTTATATTGTCATTTTAGGTCAGGGGTGCCCAAACATTTTCCCTGAGGGGGCCAAAATGAAAATATATCCATGGCTGTGGGCCAAATGCAGTTATATAATAAATGAAATACAAATACTCTTTAAAAGTAAAGTCCTTTATTTTTGACCATTAAGCTGTGCAATGGCTCTCTTTTGTTTTAGTCTGTGCACTTGGAGAAAGTCTGCCATACGCTCAAGTAGCAAAGGCTCATGGGACATTTCATAAATTGATAAAATTTGAGTTTTTGTGGCCTTATAAAGTGTACAAATCTACATACGGGGTTAAATCTGATCTAAACATTTCTTGTTGTCATTTCATGTTTCTTGTTTAATCCTAATAAATCAAAGATATGTCAGCACCATGACTGAAAACTACCTTCACTACAGCCCTTTTATAGTCATTTGACCAATGGAAAAACTGTTTCAACCTATAGGATAACAGGTTACAACCTTGTAACTTTGGCAACTGTTGGTGGGCCAAATCAAATGGCTTGGTGGGCCAAATTTGGCCCGCGGGCCCCACTTTGGGCTCCTCTGTTTTTTAGGTAGAACGACGACTAGTAAAACCAGGTCTTTAAAGAGGAAAAGCTGACTCGGTTAAATTTTAAACTTCTCACAAAGCAGGCAGGCATGTTGATTTATTTTCTTTTGTTAAAAATGCAATAAGCGAACGCTTGGCCATAAATCACATTCTTTTTCTGTGATTTGTACGTCATGCTTGTTGGAAACTAAAGGTTTGTCTTGGCTTAACTGGGTTTTTCATGAGTAAAGTTGCTCAAGGATGTAGGAACAGGATACTTACCAAGGACTGTAAAAACAAGTCAGCATTTTTGGCGTTCTGTTGAACTACTGGTCAGCTGTGCAGCCGGTCAAAGATTACAAAGCTTTAAAGTATGTGCCATGTAGGAGGGCGCTTGATTTCCCATCATGTGAGAGTTGGCTGATTGTGTGAGCTGAGGCTTTTTTCATAAACTGAGGTATTTTCTTCATGTACAACTAATGGCTTCCTCCTTTCTTCTTGTGTTTTAAAAGTTTGACGTTAAGCTGTTATAATAAAACAGGGAAACACAAGTTCACCACCAGGGTAGAATTTGAATATGCTTTCTGTGTTTCTCCTCTTAATGTAAGATCTGCGTTGCTGCTTTATTTTCAGCTGCCTTCCTCACACAGACAGTATGTTTGGACGATACAACAGTCAAGTTTGAGATTTGGGACACTGCAGGACAAGAGCGATATCACAGCTTGGCACCTATGTACTACAGAGGAGCCCAGGCTGCCATYGTTGTCTTTGATATCACCAACACAGTGAGTAGTATGATCTGCAGCAGGACGTCGGCAAAGACAGACGCTTGTGTCATGTTTACTCACCCTCGTCTTCCAGCCTGCGTTCACGATTGCTTAATTCAAAGTGCAGCTACAAATCTTTGCTCTTTGCAATGAGATATAAGATTTAAAAGCACCGTGTCTTACGCCTKTTGCACTTTTTTGTTTTTAAGGATACATTCACACGTGCAAAAAACTGGGTGAAGGAGCTCCAGCGACAAGCCAGTCCCAACATTGTTATCGCACTGGCAGGAAACAAGGCCGACCTGGCCAACAAAAGAGCCGTAGATTTCCAGGTGAGCACTGAACGATTACATTTGAAGGTTAAAGTTTACCAAACAGATTCAGCACGTTTTCTAAATGTCCTCTAGTCATATCCTTCATTTGTTTCTTTTAGGAAGCACAAGCATACGCAGACGACAACAGTTTGCTCTTCATGGAAACTTCAGCCAAGACTGCTATGAATGTTAATGAGATTTTTATGGCTATAGGTAAGTTTTCCTTGGAAAAGACATTTCATTAATCATTTGCGCAGGCTGAAAATAAAATTGTCATTATCTTGATTAATATTTAATTTATGGTTTTGATAATGTTAATAAGACTTCAGAAAATATTGAATAAAAATCCTAAAAGCACAGAAGCTCCTGTTCAAATTATATATCTATCAGTTGCAAATAGACAGATAAGTTTGAGATCATTCAAACCTGGCTGGTTAATGTGTACCCCAGACTGGGAATGTAAATTAAGGCCTTTCGTACCTGTATTTTGTTATATCTGAATGTGGCTAAAGACATTTAAACAGCTTTATAGTTTAATCTGTTATTCAGTAATTTCTCTGTAAATAGAGACAAAAGCTTTAATATTTAGATATCTAGAAATTATATCTAGAAAGCACATCTGTTTTACTTGAACTCTGGAAATTTCTGAGTCATATCAGGGTTCCTACAAATCCTTAAGTCTTAAATAGCATTGAATTCATTAAATCAAAAATAAAGCCTTAATTAGCTGTAAAATGTGTGTCGTGGAAATATCCACTAAGGCATAAACACGTGAATAAAAGAAAGGTGCACTGCGTGGTTTGGTCGTCAAATTATTTAATAAGGTTTGCATATGCAAGATGAGTGGGCACCGGACAGAGTGAAATCACCCAGCTCCGTCAAGTCACCACTGGGTAGCAACAGACAGGAAATGCAATTTATACTTCCGGTCAGAGTCCGTATGAACAAATAAGAGCGTGACAAATGGTAGAGATATCAAATGACCAATGAAAGAATTACACAGGCCGAGGTAACGCAAAAGAAAAAAAATCTCCCATGTCCCCTCGCGGGCTCTATAGAATGCTTCTCGCAGTTCGTTGTTTTGTGTTAAATTGTCGCTTACCGAAGTTTTTTCTGTTTGTGTTTATTGTGAAGTTGGTCTTAAAGGGATCCATGATTAGTTGTAACATTAGACTTTATTTGATAAACATTTATTTTAACTGTAAAAATACTGTAGGATGTTTAGTTTTATAAATTTTTCAAAATATACTGTATTTTAACATGGACGGAGCCATTTTATTTACACGCAAAGCATTCTGGGTAAATAATAATGGGGATAGGTCATCAGTGTGAGTGAGCTATATCCACCCTGAAGGTTAATCTTGGACAATATCTGATGATCGACTCTTTTAAATGAAACCAGAGAGCGTTGACAGAGAGGAGRAGGTAGAAATGACTCAGCCTGGAACTGAAAATACAGATGGAGGACAACAGAGCTGCTTCATGGAAGTAGAACCTCAGCTTAGCCTGTTAGCTTTAGCATTAGCTCCGACGTTATATTGCCTTATATGTATTAGCTCTGTGCTAGCGTGACAAACTAACAAGCTTAACTGTTGTCCTCCATCCATATTTTCAGTTACAGCTTGAGTCATTTCTACCTTCTCCTCTCTGTCAACGCTCTCTGGTTTCATTTAAAAGAGTCGATCATCAGATATTGTCCAAGATTAACCTTCAGGGTGGATATAGCTCGCTAGCAGCCTCGCACCGAGGACCTATCCACATCATCATTTACCCAGAATGCTTTGTGTGTAAATAAAATAGCCCCATTTGTGTAATTTTAAAAACTAAACAGCCTACAGTATTTTTAGTCTTTATTTTACAGTTAAAATAAATGTTTATCAAATAAAGTCTAATGTTACAACTAATCATGGATCCCTGGAAGCTGTAGGAACTCTACATATTCTTGAAGTGTTTTGCGATAAGACTAATCAGATAATTTAGCTCCTCCATAGTCGTGTAGATTATAAATTATCGTTTTTCTCTTCACAACAGCCAAGAAGCTCCCGAAGAACGAGCCTCAGGGTGGAGCGGGCGCCGGCGGACGGGCCAGAGGTGGCGTGGACCTGCAGGAAGCAGCGCCACAGGGCAGAAGCGGCCATTGCTGTGGGGGCGGGAACTAACTCAAAACAATAAATCAGCTGACCCGATCACACCTCGGCTTCGATCAACCAGACCAGATATTAGCCAGCTGTCAAACGACGTCCCGTTGGTCAAACCAAACCACGGTCAGACCAGCTCTCCTCTCAGCACCATTTTACCGTTTGGCAAACGAGTCCACTGGCCAGTAAACTGCAAGACCCCACCGATGGTTCCAACAGACCCAGAAATCAACCCAAACAGGCCTAGTTACAGAATCAGACTTGCCAATCCATGACTTCTCTTTTTTGATGAACACTTGACGTCACCTTGGAGGGAAAATAAAATAAATTACGGGAAAAAAATCCCATTCATGGAAGGATTAAATAAAAATAAAATAAATAAAACAGTCATTACCAACTGCACACCATCTTGTTCACTTTTCTGTGTTTGTGTAGAGGAAAATAATCCAGGAGGAAGGAATAAAAGCTGTCCTTTCGCTGCTAGTACTCGCTTTTCCAACGCATCAGAAATATTTCATCGTGGTCATATGTTAAAGCAAGGTGTGTGCAGCATCTTTCACCTTTTTTTTGACTTGTTCCTGATCAGCTTAATGAATGAGATTAGGAAAACGTTTCCACTGGGGGAGCACGAGCAGACAAGTTTTTCTTTATAGAGCTGTGTAGCTTGATTACATTAACATTGGTATTGCTACTATTACTGTATTTGCTTCGACGCAGGCTGCTCACCATGATTTTAAAACCTCGACTTCAAAAGGTTTTACAGTCGTTGGTCTGTCATCAAACCACATACAGTAAATGAACCTTTATTAACATTTTCCATACATAATTTTAGCATTAATGTAATATTTTTGAATGATCTGTGTGACATGGCAAAAACATAAAGCAAGATTTGTTTTGTTGACCAAATTGCATCTGCATTGAAAACACATTTCTGTATTTGTAACAGACTTTTCAAGTTTATAATCGATCTGTAGTTATTGTCAGAAAATATCTTCCCAATCTTTACACATTTGTCAAATTTTTTTATATATCTTAATTTGTTTTCCCTCTGGAAATGTATGATATTAAATGCACTGGTTCTGTCTCATCAGCCTTGTGAATTTGAGTTGTTATACTTGGCTTTTCTCCTTTTTTTTTTTTGTCTCGTTAATTTTACTAATCGGTTCAGGAAGAGAATGGCTTCTAAAGTGTTGTCGTCCTGTTACCACATCAACAATTAGCACAGAATTATCTGAAAAACATTACGCACTGCTGTAAGGTGATATGAGGATAACAGAGGTGGGTAGAGAAAGCAGAAGGAAAATGTCATTTTTATGAATAAACAAGGGAAAGGTATCTTTTTTTTGTTCACTTGTTTTAATTATTTCACTTTATTTGAACAACTCGGCTGCATGGTGGAATAATCTGTAGCACTTTTTGCATCACAGGTTCGACTCCTGATGAGCCTTTCTGTGTAAAGTTTACGTTTGTACATGTTCATGTTTTTTTTCTTCCCACAATCCTCAAAAAAGTACTTTAATTAGCTGCTCTCAATCATCAGGAGTGAGTGAATGTTTGTCTCGGTGTACCAGCTGCATGCGACTGGTCAAATCACACTGAATTCTAGTATTCTTAAAACTAATTTTGATTTTTAATATGTTTTTGTCACAAATTATTCTTTCACTCATTTATTTTTATTTTACTCAAACWACAAACAGAAACTGATCATCTTTCTAACAAGAATTACATTGGTGTAATTGCAAATTTGACTTTTCTATAGTGCAAAATGTAATATTTGACTAAATAACAAATCTAATCTATAAATTTGCAATATTCATTAGCCTGACTTTTTAGAATTACTCATTTAAATCACATCATGCACTTGTTTTAATTAAAAAATAAATAAATTTAATTTAATATTGCTTTGATGCACAATTTGGCCACTAGAGGGCAGAAGGGCTCTTAGGATTTTAAAAGTACATCTGAAACACGTCTCGGTTTAATAAAAAAATAGCTCTTTTAAAAAATAGGAATTTGGTTTTAGTGTATTTTGTAGTCTGTATATTTTAGTAAATGCGTCTGATTGGATGAAATCGAGTTGAAAAGTTTCGGCGGCGATTGTTTTTCTAAATTCCTATTTTTTTCGACGGTACGTGAAGGCAGCAGATGAGGTAAACGGAGGAAGTAGCAGAAGCAGCAGCAGCGTGGATATGTCGGACCCGGCGACGCAGGCCCTACAACCCCGGCTTCTCCAAGCCCAGTCCACCGGGTCAGCGGGGTCCGGTTCTGCTGCGATAGGCTCCGGGCCGGGGAGCAGCGACCCGGCCAGACCAGGACTCAGTCAGCAGCAACGTGCGAGCCAGAAGAAAGCTCAAGTCCGAGCTTTCCCACGGGCGAAAAAGCTCGAGAAACTTGGCGTATTCTCCGCATGCAAGGTAGCTAACCAAGCTAGCCGAAGTTGACAACAAAGCACCTTTATTATAGTCGTATCACCTTTTTATTAACCGCAACTTAAAAACAAACCAGCAACACAATAAATAAAACGTAGTAGTTAACGTCTCTGCATTTAAATATGTAAAGATGCGTTTTACATGGTGGAAAATTGGAAAGTGACACACATGATGGGGATAGTTGCAGCTTGTAAGTCACCTGTGTGGTGTGTTTATTTTTTGTTTATTCTAAGGCCAGTGACACATGCAAGTGCAATGGATGGAAAAACCCAAACCCACCCTCAGCTCCACGTATGGATCTGCAGCAGCAAGCAGCCAGTCTGAGCGAGCCCTGCCGCAGCTGTGGACATGCTCTGGGTACAAAGTAGACACACACACATACACACACACACACCTAACATCACCTGCAGTGTTTACCTGGTTCTCCAAAACGCCATTTCTGATCATCAGCATTCAGTTTGGACTTCAAACTGATTTCAGTCAATCCATTCCTGATAAATCAACACACACCTAAGGCTTTATCTTTGACTTGTACGGAAGATTAAGGTCTCAGAAAAATAAATAAAAATTTCCTGAGTTCTGACTTTAATTTCAGAACTCATACTTTTATCAAAATTTTATATCAAAGTCAGAATTTAGATTTTTTTYCCCCTCAGAATAAGGTGAAAGTCAGAATTCTGAGCTCAGTGTTAAAATTCTGGGATCAAAGATATTCACAGATCAAAGTTAGAAATTTCAGACCAAAGTCCAAATTCTGAGGAATTAAAGAATTTAAAATAAACTTTAACAAACCCAAATCCAACTGCAAATAGTCACACTGCAGTTGTCCAACATTGTCTGCTCTGACCAAGTGGTCATGATTTGCCGTGGTATCTCAGGTCTGTTTTGTTTATCAGACTGATTCTGTCAAAACACAGAAATTCAAACATTTGAACCAACCATGTATGTTGTGCAGCCCTACGCTCCAGTTCTTTATGGCTTCTACAAACCCACTACTTTATTTGATGAGTGGGATCATGTTAACTCTACAACAGTGAGTGTTTTACTGTAAGGATTGTATTAATTAAGTGATGCTCAGTTTTTTTGTTCCATTCAAAAGTAATTAACAGGATAATCTGAAAGTTCTTTAGGTTTGTTTGGGCTAATCAAAGTTGTTTTAAGCTTGTTTGTTGGTTACTTGGTTTATTGCTCCAGTTTCTAATTAATACAGCTTCAGGAGATAATATCTTTTGTTTGCTTTGAATTCTTCAGACATGGTTTGAGTATTCTCCTTCAAATCTGTGCCACGTCTCGGTTTGGTCTCACCGGTTGGTGCGCAGATTTTATTTCGTTTCAGGTTTTGGAACTCGATGTTCGGATAACGTCTCGTTCAGCAAAAGATCTGTTTGTTTTGTTTGATTCGTTCCCAGCTGATCACGTGTCTCACCTGGAGAACGTGTCTGAGGATGAGATCAACAGGCTGTTAGGGATGGTGGTCGACGTGGAGAACCTCTTCATGTCCGTGCACAAAGAGGAGGACACCGATACAAAGCAGGTTTACTTCTACCTTTTCAAGGTAGGCAAAGGTTTTTTGTCCCACTCAGACGGTGCTCCCTTAGCAAAAAGTAGTAAATGCAGGTATACTTATTTATACTAATTCTAAACAAAAAAATTAAAAAGAATATACTTACAGTTGACCTTTTATGTACTTATGAGCTATACTTAACCATGTTTATCTTACACTATACTCTTCTTGTACTAAAAGTATTTTAAATTTTAAGTATATTTACTCTATACAAATGCTTTAACTGTTGGCCAAGATAAACTTTACTAGTACACTGAAAGTACATTTTCACACAGACTGTTTGTTTGTAGTATATTTCAAGATTTAACTAAAAATGTACTTAAAAGATTACTTTCCATATACTTCTGAGTATACTTTCATAAACTTATTGTGGGCCAACTCAGTCCTAGAAGTATACTTGCTAGTAAAGTGCTTACTTATATTAGTGTACATGGCAAATAAAAGTACACTTAGGGAGATACACTTTTATATACTTTAGTATACTTAATGACATGTGCTTAAAGTATATTTCTTTTTGGTAAGTTTATAAACTTAAAAAGACATAACAATACACTTAAAAGTATACTTTTTATTAGAGCTGGGCGGTATGACCAGAATTTTATATCACGGTATTTTCAACATTTACACCGGTTCGACGGTATTTGACTGTATTTTTCTTTTCACCACAGCTCAGCTGATAATAAAATGTACACACACTGCTTAATGACTTTTTTTCTTTTACTGTACTTCTGTCTGTGTCATTGTTTCCCTCCTTCGTGTGTCTTTTCTCTGACTGGTGGTTGGACACAGTAGTCACGCATTTTGGTCCAGTCGTGAAGGAGGAGGGTTA